TACACCAGCGGAGCAAACACAGCGACAATACAGATCGAAGTTGTCCCATGACTACAGAATAATGTAACTCAGGATTTTTCTCAACAACAAGCGATACCAAATTTTTCAAAAAGCGAGACCCCTCTGGCCCACACATGCCTGAAGTTGAAAAAACTAACGGTGTAAATGATGCTCTCTCTACAATATTTACACGGGCACAATATTCTCTCTTTTTGGCCTGTTCATGGGTCTTCAGCTGACGCAGGACGTCTGTACGCGACAGCAGGCTTGCCTTCGGGTGTGTTACCCGTACATCAAAAAAGGCATCCTGCTGCCGGGTCCAGAAGCCCCGCGCCCTGATATCCAGACGCGCCTCCAAAGACCGGTTCGCAGTTCGATGTGGTAGTGTTTCTCCTTCGAACGGCTTGAGAAGAGGCTCCTTCTCCACATCTGGTAGTATTTCCCGAATAGCTTCTGACAGAATGTCCCGGATCTCGTTATGTCTTGCAATTGGGTAACCACCCGCCGGGCAACTCATGGCATGATCTATTGTCATGTCTTGCCCACAAATACAGGAACTGGACACTCCCTCCAATGACAAACCATATCGAATACAAACAGCATCACGAAAATCCGATTTGTTCAGGATTGAACTGGGCGTTATGAAAGACGGCATGGAGGATAACCAATTTGAAACACCCTTCTCACCAGCCGTTTCCAACAAAAGCTGTTGCGCCGGCGGTAGCATGGGGCGCAACTGTGCCACTCTTTCATCCTGTTTCTTTTGCCGCTGCTGACGTGACTGACGTGCCCGCTGCCGAACATCCCCGATGGCATCAAGGGTAACATCTGCGCCCGAGCCTCCGGCTGCGTCATCCAGGCTAGTGATCCCCAGCCGTGGTACAGGATGTAGGCGGAAATCATCGGGTAGAGATGACGATAAAATCAACCCGGGAGAATGGCCCCGAACATTGTGAGGCTGTTCCGCGCCCGCAACGGTCAGAGGCTGTGTGGAGGACTGGTATGGAGCAGCAGGTGCCTCTTCTGGAGGCGTTAATGTATCTGGCGGTACAATCAGGCGCACGAACGGCTCAGTGATCTTTGTTGAGGCCGCATACTCCACAGGCGCCAGGGAAGGCAGAATCGGCACAGCAAGACCACCACATCTCGTTGGCAGAGACAGAAGCTCCCGCTGTGAGCTATTGGGGTCGAACTCATGGCCCAGGAGAGCTGGTAAAAGCTCCGAATCGATAACCTGGCCAGGTACCTGAAGAACCTCAGGGCTGTGCTGTGTGGCACGGAGATGGTATTGCCACCGGCCAGCCAGACCCTTGGTTAACACCACGTATGCCGCGTGTGGCTGGGTCCTCGCCAGTCCAGCCAGAGACTTGAGTTCTTGTGCCCAGCAACGCGACTTTGCGGATATACATTCTTCGGTATACCTGGCCGATCCCAGCACACCGCCCAAGTATCGGGCTCCTTCGGCTGATATAGTCACCCCAGTACCGTCAAACACCTCTCTCGCTCGATCGAGGTGCTCTGGCTTCGTAACGAGGATGGTCTTGGCTGCATTGGCGTGGTAACCATATCCGCGGCCAGCCTGTTCCAGAGTATCCCAGTACTGTCGGAGCTGCAGGAGTCTATCCGCCGCCGCATCGTCATCTGCATACCAGGACTGGACGACCGACGGGCAAGCCGCTGCCAGGTGCTTCACCAGAGGTGCTGTGGCAACAGCATACACTGCCATTGCCAATGGGTCCCCTTGGCATGTCCCTTCCTGTGACAATATCTCACCGCCACCAGCAACGAAAAGGCGAATTGGCGAGCTGTAGGTGTTGGCAAACACTTTGCCTAGAGCAGGGCAAATGCGGGGAACGTTATGGAGTGCGGCCTGACGATTAAGCGAGTTGAATGCATTTGATGCGTCGACCAACAATACTCCTTCCGTATTTGGTCCAGCGAACATGGACGTCATTGCGTGAACTGAGGCTTCGCAGGCTGATGGAACACCAACACATGTCTGGTGGGGGGCAGTTACGCGGAGGACGTCGTGTTCCGTGATCCTCGCAATAGCTCTGCAGATCAGTCTCCTATGCACCTCACCGACCGCGATTGGGCGCACACCTGGTTGTTTGTCGAGTGGAATCAGGCGAGCCGATGTAAACCCCAACATTGATTCTGGCTCCACGGTCACCGTGCACAGACATTGTGCGGCAGCAGCCAATGCAGAGCAGAGAGTATCTGAAGCCTTCTTAAAACACGTCAGCATTCTACACCATGCATCAGAATCCAGGCCGGACGGGCCCGACGATCCGTGCATCCGCCGGCTTAATTTACGAATCAGCTCCGGTGTGATTCTCTGGAACAAGATGTTGCTGGCTTCGGCCGGATCACCAGGAAGGAGGACATCTTCGGAAGGCTGAGTCGCGATGGGGTGCTTCTCCAGCAATACCTCACGAACTGTAGCACCTGTGGACGGATTCCCAATTTCATCCATTCCCAGAACCCTTCCAGAGGATGCCGGGTCCAGATACCTGATGGCTGAATGGATGCGTCCCGAGAACACCAGCCTGCTGAACTTGACGTCATCCAGTTCCTCTGGGCGATCCGGTGCCGTAGGGACACGCCTGGGAAGATGAGCCTGAATGCAGGCACACTCCTCGACTAGTTCCTTGATGGCTCCTCGTTGCCATAGACCCATACGGCGGCGCAGATGATCCGCCTGATTGCATTGCAGTCTCGAGTCGTGTGGCTGCTGTAGCAGGAGGTGGCAGGCAACTGATACAGCTCTCCAGGCCACACATCGTATATCTGAGCCATCAGCAAAACAATTAATGAGCCGAGACAATTCCCCAACAAATAGAATGCCGGCCGAGCCATGAGGAACAATGAATAGGTTGCGCCTCCACGTGACCACTACCTCATATGCTGCCTTCACCGACTGCACGAAATGGTCCCTTACACTTGCATCCTCCAAGCGCGATGTTGCATTCACTGGGCGTTGACTGTCAGCAAGACCAGCCAAGAACAATGTATCACCTCCAGGAGATTCATGCTCTGCCCCGACGGCAGAGATATTGGCAGGAGGTGGTGATGTCACATCTATTCCGTGAGGACGATCAGGGGTCGCACTTTGATTGACCGTGGCAAGGTGTGGGGAGCACTCATCACCCTCCTCGCCATTCTCACTAGAGCCGGAGGCTCTAGAGCCGGAGGCATTCTCACTAGAGCCGCCATCACCTTCCTGGCTGCTATTAACAGAGGCATCAAAAGCACTTGCCACGGTGAGAGGAGGTGCCAAATCCCGAGAGACAGAATGAATAACCGGAGGCCGCGACTGTAGACTTGCACCATCCACACCACAAGAGAGAGCTGGGTCCACACCAGCACTGGCGATAGGCGGTGGTTGGCTGCGTAGCACTCTGGCAGCTGCAGACACATTGCAGCAAGTGCTGGGCGTAGACCTACTCGGGTAGCAATCGCTACAAACTCTCCCAGCCTTCACACACGAACATCGTGTACATGCTCTGCCCGTCTGGCACCTACAGCAAGGCATCAGGCCAACCACCCAGTCAGCGCGGAACACGGATAGCGCAGACCCCTGGTGACAGCCCGGCAAGGCAAGTGCCACGACCTGGACCAGCAACAGCAGGAGAAACATCCGTCACTAGTAAGCGCCCATGAGTGGCGCAAGCACTTCACCTCAGCGCGTGATGCAGCGTGATGCAGCGATGTAGCTAATCCAGCTTGGCGCAACGCACGACTCAGCCCTTGCGCTAAGGATTCGACCAGACCTGGACCAGGAGACTTCATCCAATGGCAGGACACTGCCAAACCTAGCCAACTTGAAGATATAACAGCTGCTCCAGTCAACTCCAGACCAAACAGCAATCAAGCAGCTCAGCAGCCAAGCAAGCTTCTTCCTCCAACCAGAGCAGCCAAAAGTCCAACCGATCGCCGCAAGCGCATCCGAATCATCATCATCATCATCATCATCATCATCATCATCATCATCATCATCATCATTTGAACAGCCTCTTCTACGGGCAAGCAAAAACGCAATACATCAAAATTCAAATAGAATGAAAAAAGAGAGGAAAATGAACACAAAGTGCACTGGAACTCAATATAAAAAGGAACGCAAAGTGCAGTTGAACACAATGAGCATGGGGCATTGGGCCACCAATCGGAGAAGACCGGCTCATAATGGAAAATAAAAGAACAAACATAAGACACCCGTACACATCAACGTGCTCTAAGGGTATGGCATCATCATCATCATCATCATCATCATCATCATCATCATCATCATGAGAAAAGCCTCTTTTACGGGCAAAGCAAATGTATATCATTACAATATGTAAAGTGAACAGGGGAAATCAACACAAAACCAACCGGAAAATGATGAAACACAAAAGCAGTCAAGGAAGTAAATCAATACAAAAACAAGCAATGAACACAGAGTAATAAAAGGGGAAAAACCAAATAGCATTATATTAAGTTGAGGCCAAAGGCAGCACCCTACTCCGCCTGGCGGCACTGGGCCAGAAATGAGTTCGGCTGTCGCCTCTTGCCGTACGAACCGCGGCAACCGCGGAAGCAGGTGACTGCCCATCGCAGCAAGCAGAAAGACAAACGGGTGCGTAGTATGCCCATTACTAGTGGGTACTTCAGTTCAGTATGGCGCTCAACAAACAGGGAGGCCAATGATTTCAGGAATTGAGTAGTTTCTGGGCCACTAAAGCCGTACGTCGAGAACACAAGTGGCGTGAAGGAGCCGCGCTCCACGTTAACCACACGGCTGGCGTATTGATTTTTCTTGTTTCGCTCGTGATCATCATCATCATCATCATCATCATCATTGGAAACGGCCTCTTGTACGGGCTTGAAACGGTGATAACCGAGATTAGGGAGGCCCACTTCAGTCAGTATTTTCAAGTATCAAACAATTGCTATCTTTAATTGCTATCTTTAATATCTTATTTGCACATTGTCAATTTCTGCTTTGCTATGTAACACAGCATTCGATGGGACATATCAACAGGCACAGACAGGGCTGCAAGCTGCAGAGACATATGTCGGTCCAGTACAGCCTGATCCCAACAATAGCTTAACTCAGCCTATTGCAAACCAACCGCAGCCTGTTGGTCAGCAGCACAGCCTTATTGGACAACCTATCAACACTGGTGGCTTCAGTAATATTGTGGGGCTTAGACCATCATTAGTGGAGTCAACACTGGGTCTCCCACCACAGCCTCAACCAACCATTGGTCTTATGTCATCACCAGCACAATTTCCGATTCTCTACAGCCAGGAAATGAGTCACCTCTTCCATGCCACTGCTAGCAGCTATCTGCCGAGTAGTGTCCCAGCAATGCACGGCAGTATGGCCAGCTCTAACCATCCTGCGGAAATGCACGCCGGCTTTCCACAGACCCCACTGAACCATCTAGCACAAGGCGTCGAGTATCAACCGGAAAACCCCTCTGCCCCTCCACTGTTTGGCGGACATCCCAGAAATCTGTGCGAATGGCGTGTAAACAACGGTCTACAATTGTGTGGGTTGGCTTTCTATAGTGTCACCGAACTAGCGCAGCACATAAGCAACGTTCATCTCCAGCAACAGGAAACTACCGAAAAGGAGGATGGCAACGTGCACATCTGCCACTGGGACCAGTGTTCACGCAAGAGAGGATTTAAAGCTAAGTACAAGCTTGTCAACCATATACGAGTTCATACAGGTGAAAAACCCTTTGTCTGCAAACATCAAGACTGCACACGCAAAGCATTCGCAAGATCCGAAAACCTGAAGATACACTACAGAGTCCACACAAAGGAAAAGCCGTTTGCCTGCACCTTCCCGGACTGTAAGAAAAGATTCGCAAATTCCTCGGATCGAAAGAAGCACATGAACGTGCACACGAATGATATAACCTACCAATGCAGGGCAGCGGGATGTACGAAGAGATATACACACCCGAGCTCGCTTAGAAAGCACTCCAAGCAGCATGATGCTCGAAATGCAGCCAATGGCGGAAATGCTCTTTCCTACAGTACCACGGACACCAGCGCAGAGAACAGTGACTTGACGACTGCGGATGGTTCTATTGCTGCGGACGGAGAAAGTGATCATGGCAGTTCGATTTCATCTGATGAGGTACTTGCAGACCAGCACCACCACCATCAACAACAAGAAGAACAGCAGCAGCAGCAGCATCAACACCAACATCAACAACAAGGTTTTGCACTTGTGACTTGCATGGACCAGTGTCAGCCTGCACAGCCGCAACACTTACCGCTGGGAACGTCCTCAAGCATGCTGATTGTGAATTCAGCATCCACCTCATCTTTGCCTCAGTTACCTTATCATTTGCACTCTGCCCAGGCTACTGCTAGTAGTGATTTGGTCAACAGTGCACTGCCGACGCCCACACACACACAGCTATCGCTGGTGGCTCACACACCGCAGCACCAGTCATCAACTGTGTCTCAGACGGACAACCATCAGGCACAGAAGCACTCTCTCCCATCGCCGATGCAGCTGCACCAGCAGCATTTTGCACAGCATTCGGCAACTGCTCAGCCAACACTATTTCATGCAGGACAATTGCTGCACCCCGTACTGCCCTCGCAGGTCGCTCACTCTCTGTCAGCACGAAGACACCTACCAAAAAGGCATTACTAAGCAAACAAACATTACACGGCTTGAAAACACTGTTCTCATGAGCTGGACAACTGCCTTTTCAAAATGGCGCTGCAGCCAGCTTCGTGAATGGATGTGTTAACAACTGTCAATAAGGTTTTTAAGGCACATCATCACTTTCAACCAAACAATTTCGTAATTATTATAGCAATGAAAAATATCAATTGTGCACTCATAACCATGTATAAACAATTAAAATGAAACAATTCCAGAACGTTTTCGTGTGACCATCATCAGTGGAACATCGTCACATAGTAAGAATCACTAAAACAACCAGTTATATAGCTAGAGTAACATGAAAAGAAGCGTGAGAATGCAGCACAGCTAGCGGTTATGCATAACGCGTGTAGTGTGAACCTTTGCAGTGTATCTGAGAATGGTAGCAGTAGATGAATGTGGCAGCTGTGAGTGCTTTTTTTTGGTGCTTTTTTTTACGGAGTTCACAATTTTTTTATTATAATTACCTAATTCAATAAAGAGGTATGAAGTGTACAGATGCAAGTTCAATACTCGCTTTTGTGATATTGAATTATCGTATCAACGCTGTCCAAAGCTGAATGTTTTTAAGGTTATTTCATTATAGATGGAGCTAGGTTATTGCTTATTCGGCTGTGGAACTTTGTCAATCAGACGACTGACACATTTGTAGAAGTTCCTTTTTCAAATGTCTTGTCAATTTCATTTTCCGCATGTTGTCTCCACTAACATTACCCATGATGCTGGCCACATGTATATAGCGTCAGTAGAATTGCAGCTCAACATCCTAATCCGCACTGCCTTCAGTCTTGTTTCTACCCACTCACTGTCAGGATCGGGTATTTCCCCTCCAATTAGTAACCATAGTACCCGTTTCTTTTTAGTTCACTTTTTCGGCTGATCTGCTCATTTCGCAGAAATGTGTCGATACTAATGCTGGCCTAACAGATTCTACAACTGCTGAAGAAAGTCTTGTCTTATGCGCTGAGTCTTCAAACACTTATAATTATCGTATCTGTTTTCAAAATAATGGGATGGAATTTTCTTCTTATTCATATGGGAATTTGTGAGCCAGTACTCGAAGTACAGATGTGCAAGCACATCATAGAAAACAATACTCGATAGCGAAGTATTCGTGAGCAAAAATCATAAGAAAGTAACTTGAGACGCTTCTTTTAAAGTTATTTGTGGCTAGACTGAGAAAGCACAAGACAGAGTTAGTGGTACTATGCCTTGCATGTTCCAGTACATCATGTATGCATGTTCCAGTACATCATGTATGCATGTTCTAGAGTAGCGAGAAGTTCATGTCAACCACTATCTAAGTAAAGTGCTAGAAATAACGTTAGAGGCATTACTGGCACATCTGGTGGATTTCGAGTGGTAGCGCAATTTGATAATGAACGAGCGGGCGAAGCCACATCTCTCTGACTCACAGCTGTTAGCGATCGTTTTCAAGATGACCTTCCTGTTCACCGCTGACACATTCACTAATTCTGTGGCATTTTCTGACAGTCTCCACTTCAGAACTTTCATACATTTTTCATTTAAAATGCCAAAATCAGTAAAAACTGTATAGACTATAGGCAAGTGTTGCGTAGGATTGGTGTACATACATGTACATGTATAGTGTGACTACACTACTAGAACTACAGTCCATTCATAAAAAGATGGGCTCTGGCTCTGGTGAGCTCCCGTATTTGGCGGTTTTTCGTGATTTCATCGTACACAGTGCAGAATGCACTGTTGCCAGGCGGGGTCAAACGGCCTGGATTTTGATGGTTTTCCCAATTCTGTGCTTTTGGGGCAAAACCTGGCCGAAATCCTATTCTTGCTATGGCTTGCTTTTTGGACAAAAAAACTTCAGAAACATAATTGGAAGAGGATTCCATAGGGGATTGCCAAAAAAATTCTAAAAAAACTCAAAGTTTGACCCATTTATGGCCAAAAGCTAGAAGTTCATTTTTTTCTGAATGGACTGTAGTAGTAGCTACGGCTCTTGTAAGTAATATTATTGTAGAGCATGTGAATGATCACATGCGCTCTCGCAGGTTAGCAGGCAAATCATCGCATGCGTGGCGTCGAACGGCTCCCCACACACACAGCTCGCTGGTGTGTCCAAGAGAGACCAACCATAGCGGAGAGCTGGAGCGTCGCGGAAGTCTCCCTTGGACAGAATGACCATGGTCTGCCAGAGGCAACACCCCGAGCCAACTCGACACGCCTTTCGTGGATAAACTCTCCAGCCGACGAGCCAAGGCAGGGGACGCACTGCTCTTGATCGTGACGAAATCATTCTGCTCCCTCTGACGACGGTCATGCGCTAGCCGTGTCTTCTCGCTTAGGGCTGCCTGGCGAACATCCTCCGTGGAGTTATGGGTGAATTGAACATCATTCTGGTGTACAATCTCCTCCACCTGAAGGGCCGTTACAGCTCTCGACGCAGGGAGCTCCGCCGTACCCATTTGCTGAAAACACGGCAGGGCCATCCCCTCCCCAGTCGACAGGGCAGGCGGAGAAGGTTCAATTCTTCTGGTAGGAAGGAATCACGGCCCGCTAGAGCAGGTAGAAGCTCCTCCGTGATCACCTTGTCCAGGTCGGTAAGGCATTGTGCAGGGAAAGGCACTGTACGCAATAGGTAGGTCCACCTACCACGTAAACCATGAGATATTGCAGCATAGGCAGCATGTGGCTCCGTTTTTGCAATCTCAGTAAGCTGCTTCAGCTCTTCCTTCCACTTCGCCACCCGTTGCTGCATATTTTCCGCGACCGTCTCTTCCGATCCAATCTCGGAGCCGAGATAACGCAGGCTCCCCGTGACAATGCGGATCCCTGTCTCGGCAAACACTTGGCGTGCTCCCTGATCCAGCTCTGGCTTGACAAGGAGCTGGGTCTTTTCGGAGTTCGTGAAGTATCCGTATCGCCGTCCAATTGCCTGCAGCTCGTCCCACCACAACCGAATCTGTCTCAGCCTACCTGCTCCGCTGGAATCATCCGCATACCAGCTCTGCCGGATTGATGTGTGCTGCTCCTGGAGACGAGTGATGATCGGTATGGTGGCAACTGCGTAAAAGGCCATGGAGAGGGGGTCGCCCTGCGTGGTTCCCTCACTCGACTTGACTTCCCCTCCACCTGCAACAAATAAACGTGCGGCCGTTTCGATAGGAGTTCATGATGACGCTGGAGAGGGCAGGACATAGCCGCTGGACATTGTGTAGCGCCGCTTCTCTGTTCAAGCTGTTAAATGCATTGCGAGCAATCACCAACAGCACTCCATCTGTCTCCTCTTCATTGTAAATCTGCTGCACCGCATGCACCGCCGCCTCTATCCCAGCTGGTTGGCCCGCACACTTGTTGTTGTTGATTTATATTTTACTTCGCAAGGCCAAACGGGCAATGGTGCCCAATTCTATGGAAGCGAATTTCAAAAGGGAGAGAGCTACGGGAGGAGAGAGAGAGAGAGAGAGAGAGAGAGAGAGAGAGAGAGAGAGAGGGGGAGGGAGGGAGGGAGATGATAAGCAATTTTGCAGCGTCAACAGAGCGATTTTGCAGTGTCAATAGAGCGATTTTGAAGCGTCAACAGAGGGAACACAAAGAGTTCATAAGCGCACAAGCACGCAGAGAAGAGTAAATGACGTGGTGTGTGGACGGGAAAAGTCAGACAGAGCATTCATTGCAAGGTGTAGGGGATGGAGGCAAGCTTAAATTGCTGGGCAGCCTTGATCTCCCTTACACTCCTTGGGAGAGCATTCCAGGCCAAGGCTGCCTGAAAGGCCAGGCGAGATATGCCGGCTTCTGACTGTGCCGAGGGGACAGTGAGGCCCCTGGAAACCTGGTGCCGGGTGGTGCTGCCAGCTGATGGTGAGAATAGGTCCTGGAGGACACTGCTGGCTTTCCCATTGACACAGTGCCACACCAGGACGAGCCGCTTCTGGGCGTAGCACTCGCGAACTCTGTACAGGGACATCCGTTCGAGCAGAGGCTGAGCCGAGGTGTGAGGCGGCAAACCGTATACCACTCTCGCCGCTCGGTTCTGCAGGACCTGAAGGCGATCAAGCTGCGAAACCTTGAGAGAGGAAGAGAAGGCGTTAGACCCATATAGGAGGTCAGGCATGATGACTGACCTCACATACTGGATGCGACTACTGAGGCTCAGACATCTGCGGGACCGCCACAGTGCTCCAATCTTCTGCACAACTTTCTTCGCCATCGCGTCAACATGGGGGTCCCACTTCACAGCGGCGTCAAGGGTCACGCCGAGGTACCTTGCTGTTGGGCTCAGGGGAAGCTCTGTCTGGTTGCAGCGGACAGCGACATGCTGACCCGCATTGCGTTGTGGTACAATTGACAGGACCTGGCTCTTCTTGTCATTTAGAAGCAGATGTCGATGCTTGAGTTGAGCCTGTCAGCGACGTTGGTGACGGCCCCTGATAGGCAGGCTGATGTGGCTAGCACTGATGTTCTGTGGCAGTGCACGGCAATGTCATCGGCAAATTGCAGAGATAGAGCAGGATGGGCTATGGCAGGGACATCACGGGTGTACATGCTAAACATCGGTCCTAGGACCGAGCCGTGAGGTACACCAGATGAGCACTTAGCAGCAACACTGTAGGTGGGGCCAATGCGCACTTGCTGGGTTCTATCGCTTAAGTAGCTGCAGAACCAGCGAAGGGAGGCATTGTCCAGGCCGAGATCGAATAGGTCCTGGACCAGTTGGCTGTGATTGACCTTGTCAAAGGCTTTTGACATGTCGATTAGGCAGACGCCTGTGGTCAACTTGTCGTCCCGGGCCTTTAAGATGCCATCTGTTGCTACAACTAGGGCGTCCTCTGTGGAGTGGTCACGGCGGAAGGCAAACTGAGTCGGTGGTATGGCACATGATCGCCCCAGATGTGCAACAAGTTGCTTCTGGACTATCTTCTCGAGTAGTTTGGATACGATCGGCAGGAGCGACACAGGACGATAATTTGCAGCTACCGATGGATCGCCAGCTTAGAAGAGAGGGCTTATTACAGCATGTTTGAAAGCCAGAGGGACTTCACCATGCCTCAACGATGAGCTGAAGAGCACTGAAAGCGATGGAGCCAACAGGTCAGCGCAAGCACGTAGCAGACACCCAGGAATCCCATCACTGCCTGTGGCTTTGCAGGGATTTATCCGTTCCAGGAGGTGCTTGACCTCATCTGGGGTGGTTGACTGGAAGGTCAGCATTGAGCCTTGCGGCTGTGGACCAATGGGAATCTGGAGCTGCGCCGGACGGGACGGATCATGTACAATGCTGTGGAAGGCATCCGAGACTTCTGTGATGTCGCACGTTGGCTGATGATGTTGACGAGAACGGCTAGTGACAGAGTTGATCACGGACCACATCATCCGCAGGTTGGAGGAGTGATCACGACACTGCTGTTGGAAATGCTGATTGCGTTTTCGCCGGTAAGCATTTGAGGCTTCTGCACGGGCTCGCTTGTACTCCTCATGTAGATGCACGTTAGTCTTATCTCGTAGCCACTTTCGGTGAAGTCTATTCTTGTGCATGTTCAGTTGGAATAGATCACGGTCGGACCATGGCGGGGGAGTCCTCCTGGTAATGGAACACAATTTTAAAAGAGACAAGATCAAAAGGAAAGCTTTACAATATTAAATAATAATAATAAAACGTTGCCTGGAAAATGTAAAAAGTCACTGAGTACGAGTACAGAGTCCTCCTGGTGGAGATTCTGACTTCACGCAGGGGAGCGTGACTTTCGAGAACCGACATAAACTTGGCATGCCTTCTGGATAAATCCGCAGGCTTTCTCAATATCCGGGGCTGCGACACGTAGTACCGCCTTAGCAACAACGCACCTCAGCACCTCGCCAACCCCGATTGGGCGGACCCCAGGCTTCTTGTCCAGTGCAATTAGCCGACCAGCAAGACATGGAATGAGGCCCTTCGATGGTATGACACGGGTCGCAAGCAAGCGGGCGCAATCAGCTATTGCCTCGCATAGGCGTGTTGAGGCTCCTTTGGACGCCAAATACATGC